GCTACATACACTTCCTGGCCGGAAACTTAAGATGACTAATTAATTCAGTTTTAGATGGTCACTGTTTTAAGTCTTATACTTAAAACAAGTGAGGAAAGATGCTTTGGTTTTAATTTGTGCTTCAGTGAAAAAGAGGTGAGGGAAAAGTATTCTCCAAATTCATAACTTTTAAATAGTAAAGGCCCCTCCCGTTGATCATCGATTTGCTCGAGCGGGCCCAGTAACGTCTCCATTGGAGACTTTGTTGTTACTGTGTCTGGCATATCGAATACTCTCGGTAGCTTGCTGGGCTCTCCGAGAGGGGCGGAGGAATCGAACTCGGGTCGGCCATGTTGGCTGCGTGCAAGGCAAACGCCCTACCGCTGTGCTATCGCTCTAGCCCTAATTTAAACGTTTTAAATACATCATTATTTCTCAGCCCATCACTTGCTGGCAGAGAAGCTCGGGAGGACCTGATATGGTGGCATTAATATAAATGGCTTTTACTTGGAATAACTGTGTGTACATTCACACATTGTTCACTGAGGGTTTCATGTCACTGTGTATGACAAGTTTGATAAAGAGCTTTTAGAAGCCACTTGCTTCATACTCAAATACTTGGACTGTTTCTTTCCACCTTGTCTGGCAGATAGATAGGTAGCTATACAATGAGGACTGATGCATGCCTGACCTCAGCCCTCGAGCTTGCTCTCCTCTTCCCTGGCTCTGCCACTCTCTTCTGAGTGAGAGGAGCTGTGGGCTCATTCATTGGAGGATGCTCTCTGAAACACACAGGGAAGAGAGAAGGCTTCTTGGGTCATGACTGGTTGGCCAGAAGGACCTGACTCTGCCCCAGTAGAAGCTCCAGCAGTTCAATAGGCTGCCTGCATACGGAGACTCAGGTCCTCGGAGACTCAGGTGAACCAAGAGATAGTCTTTCTTGGAACACAACATTCTACAGCTAGAAAGGGTATTACTATATGTGTGAGTATGTGTGTGTGTTTGTGTGTGTGTGTGTGTGTGTGGTGTATATAGTCAATATAGATTTCCATTCTATACCAATGGATCATGATTCAGGAAATTTGATAAAATAATTCCAGATGTTCAGTGAGGTGTAGGAATTGGTGATCTAGGATATTCTCACATGAGGTTACATAAGATAATCATTATCTCACATAAGATGATCTCAAATGGGATTATTTTACACATGCCCTTTATTCTTTGCTTCCTTATTTCACACATTTATTTATTTATTAAATATTTATTGAATGCCTATACTCCGTCAGACATAGATATAGGCTGGAAAGTGAAGTTAAAACAGCGGACAAAACTGTCTTCAGGAGCTAGAGGGGAAACTGGTAAATTAATAACTAAAATAAGGACTGTGATGGCAGTCATAGATTATTGGAGGGTGTCACATTAAGCATTTAAAAAGAAAGGATTAAAGAAATTCACTTTTCATCCAAGACCTATGAACCTGTGTGTTTCAAGAACAGAAAATCCGATCAGAGTGACAGGCATCCAGCTGGCCATAGGAAGAGAGGAGTAAGGTTTCACAGGCAGGCGCAGGTCATGTAGACCCTTTAGGACCATGGGGAGCGGAATGGCAGATAGAGATGGGCCATCAGATGTTCAGTTGGAAATAGGAGTCTGGAGTTAAGAGGGGAAACCTAGTTTAAGGGTGTGAATATGTGTGTGTTTGGTGGTGGTAGGGGTCTGGTCATCAGCATTTCCACAGAGAACAACCAGTGGACAATCTCACCTGGGAAGGACTAGAAGGAGAGCAGAGGGAATGGCGAAGTATGGAGAATGAGTAGCAGCACTGGGGTGGAAGAGGGAAAGAGGAGGAAACCGTTTTTTCTGACAGCTGCATAGTATTCCGTTGTGTTGATGTGCCATGAAATTTGCCTAAAATGGATGGACATGGAGAGTATCATGCTGAGTGAAATGAGTCAGAAGGAGAGGGACACATATAGAATGATTGTATTCATTTTTGGTGTATAAAAATATATATAGTAGAAGAATAATATCCATGGCCAGGGAAAAGGAGGACTGTCCGTGGTTGGAGCTAACCACAAATTTGTGTGGGGTGGAGGGTAGTTAAGATAGAGAAGAGACCAGTATGACAATAATAGCTGGGAATGATCAGGCTGGACAAGGTCTGAGGGTTAAAAGTAGGTAAGGGATATTCTTGATAACTTTTCAGTATCAATATTGCAAACTACAATGTCCAAAGGGAGAGAGAGGGAGGGAGGAAAGGAGGAAAGGGAGGGAGGGAGGGAGAGAGAGAGAGAGAGAGAGAGAGAGAGAGGAAAAGCGCTTACCATAGAGGCAGGCAGGGGGTGGTGTTGGGGGGGTGATGGTGGGAGGGAACCTGGGGACACTGGTGCTGAGAAATGTACACTGGTGGAGGGATGGGTGTTGGAATACTGTATGACTGAAATCCAATCATGCACAGTTTTGTAATGGTCTCACAGTGATTCAATAAAAATAAATGAATAACAAAAAATACATGCTTTAATGGGACACAAAAGATACACTGTTGGGACAACCCCACTTACCTCATGCTGGGTTACCACAAACCTCAATACAAATAGAAATAATAATAAATGCACACCATCTGCAGAGCATGATAAAGTGAACTAGAGCAAGGCAGCCTGCGTATATGTATATGTATATGTATATGTATATGTATATGTATATGTGTATGTGTGTGTGTGTATGTGTATGTGTATGTGTATGTATATGTATATGCATCCTTAGTATTTCTATTAAAGGAAATGGATGTTGGATGAAGTCAGCCAGGAGGAGAAGGATAGATACAGAATAATTTCTCTCACATGTGGAATAAAAGAAACATAATGAGAGAATAAACAGAGAAAGGCAACCGAACCTGAGAACAGATCTACAGAACTGAGCTTACTGTGGTGGGGAGACAGCATGGTGGTATGGGAGCCCAGTTTGGTGGGTAGGTGGAAGGTGGACACCGAGACATTGGTAAGAGAAGTAGACACTCTGGTGGAGGATGGTGAGTTGTAATGTTGTAGGAAACCTTACTATGAACAGTTTTGTAAATCATGGTGACTAAAATGATATTTAAAAATAAAATTAAATGTTCAGTATTGGGCTGGAGTGATAGCACAACAGGTAGGACGTTTGGCTTGCATGCAGCCAACCAGAGTTTGATTTCTCTGCTCCTCTCAGAGAACTCAGCAAGCTACCAAGAGTATCTCACCTGCACCACAAAGCCTGGCAAGCTCCCCATGATGTATTCATATGCTAAAAACAGTAACAGCAAATTTCACAATTTGTTGTGAGACGTTACTGGTGCCCGCTAGAGCAAATCAATGAACAACAGGAGGACAGTGCTACAGTGCTACAGTTCAATATTTTTTTTTTTAAAAAAAGGAGGAAACCAGGAGACTGTAGATTTGGAGAAGCCACCAGAGGAGCTGGTGCAAGAAGAGCCAGTTCATGTGTCATTGCTGAAAGCTCATGAACAGCACAGTCAATTCCCGTAGCTACTAGCTGCATGAGATTAAGTCATGGCTAGCAAATTGTTTATGCTCAAATGAAATTGTACTACATTAAATTTTATATAACAATTATGATTTATTATGCTTCAAATTATGTAAAACCACTAAAAATTCTCCTAGGCCTTTGCAAATATATGCGATTTAATCATTTCACTAAACCTATAAGACCTGTTTAAATTAATTGTATTATTTTATTTTTCTTTTTTAATTTTTAATTAATTTATTATTTTTATTTATTTTAGTTGCTTTTTGGGTCACACCCAGCGATGCTCAGGGGTTACTCCTGGCTCTGCACTCAGGAATTACTCATGGTGGTGCTCAGGGGACCATATAGGATGCTGGGAATCAAACCTGGGTCAGCTGCGTGCAAGGCAAACGCCCTACCCGCTGTGCTATCACTCCATCCCGTTAATTAATTTTTTTAAATGTAGGAGTATTGCTATTTATTCAGCCATTGATTAGGCTGATTGAATTGGGCATGAACTCCATCTTACTTTTTTTTCTTCTTTTTTATAAATTTATTTATTGAATCACCGTGAGAGCAGTTACAAAGCTTTCGGGTCTAAGTCTCAGTAATACAATGATGAAATACCTGTCCCTTCACCAGTGCCCATTTTCCACCACCAAAAACCCCAGTATACCCCCGTCCCACACCCTCCCCCTTCCTGTGGGGCAGATGGCCTCCACATTACTCTCTCTCTACCTTGATTTCATTCAATATTTTGACACCAGATCCACCATTATTATTTGGGATTTTATCCCATCACTCAGATCTGCCAAAAAGGCAACCGTAGACAATGTGTTTTCTATTGCTGATTATGAGTAACATATGATGTCATGTGGCCTTAGTAGTGGCTGTGCGATTTTGGAATTCCAAAATTTTAATGATTAAATCTGGAGGAATTTCTGCCAAAACCAACTGGGTTCCAAGATTTGTTCCTGAGTCTCTGGCATCATGGCCATTAAGCAGCTTGATCAGGAGCCAGGGAGGCTGTTCATGGGTGGTGACTCGGGGTCTCGTTGGGGCAGGGTGGAAAGGGCCGGCACCACCCCTATTCCATGAGGCCCTGCGTGTCTGGTCATTGTGGGCCCAAACCTGACTATTCAATGGCCTCTGAAGGATGGCAGCCACCAAGCTGCCAGGTAATTAATTATTTTAAAGCATTACAAAGCTGTTCGTGATTGGATTTTAAATGTACAGTATTCCAACACCCATCCCTGCACCAGTGTACATTATCCAGCACCAGTGTTCCCAGATTCCCTCCCATTACCCTCCCACTACGTGCCCTCTGCCTGCTTCTTGGGCAGGCATTTTTCTTCTCTCTCTCTCTCTCTCTCTCTCTCTCTGGACATTGTGGTTTGCAGTATTGATATTGAAAGGTTTAAAATCAGCCTTCAAATGTAGTTTTTATATTTTTATTATTGCCTGTTTTGTCTTTTTAATTTTTTTTAACCAGACTCTTTCTTTTTTTCATATCTGGCCAGGAAACTTAATGGTGTTATGGTCAACGTGCCGCACAACCGTGTTCAAATCTGTCACCAACAGATTCATTAAAAACCTGGCCTGCGCGGGGATCTGTGCCAGCCTGGTCTGCGTGCCCTTCGACATAATCCTCAGCACTAGTCCTCACTGTTGCTGGTGGATCTACACTGTGCTCTTCTGCAGGGTCGTCAAATTCTTGCACAAAGTCTTCTGTTCTGTGACTATCCTCAGCTTCCCTGCTATAGCCTTGGACAGGTAAGGTCAAATCATCAGGGGATCAAGGTGTTTTGTTTTCTTAAGAGTACTTAAAAAATTTGCATTCATGAAGCAAATGGTGAGTAGTTAGTCTTCCACAGATTGCTGTCAATTTGAGTTTGTGTTCAGCAGCAGAAAAATTGATGTCTAAAAGAATCTCATGAAAGGCTGTTTAGTTTAGCGGCAGCTTTGGGCAATAGGACTATTGAGAAAAGACAGGACTCGGGAGTGGGGATGGGGTTAACAGCATGAGGATGCCCGAGGGGAATCCCCGGACCAGGATGCAGCTTCAGCTTGGTTGGAATTGGTGATTTTTTGGATACAGGGTGGATAAATTTCCAGAAAAACAGAGGGGGCAGTTCAGTGGTTACTTAACAAATGATTGGACCGTCCAGTTTAAACATGAATCTTTTGAAGGATTTATTTCCAGAGCTTTGTTTGTTATGGTTTTTTTATCTTTCCATCCATTTGTTTTTTTCCTTTTTTTCAAGGGGGGGCGGCGGTTCTCAGGCAGTGTTCTGGCTGCTCCTGGTGATTTGGGCAACCAGACTAGACAGTTCGGTGCTCTGGCCAGGTAATGCAATGCCATCTGAGCTGGAGCCACCTGGCTCAGCCTAGTGATGTTCAAAGGGTCCTAGAGTTACCCCCAAGGTGTGCTCAGGCACCTCTGGTGCTATGGTGCACACTGAGAGCTTTTTATTCTGAAATGCTTTGTTTGTTTGTTTACAGTGCTGGGACCCAACCTGGGCCTCATACATGTGAGGCATGTGCTCAATCATGTCACAACCTGATTCCTGAAAGGATTTTTTTTCTTCTCTTTTTTTTTTTATAAGTTTTGTTAAGATATTGGCACCTCAATAAATTCACTCATTTTAAATATGTCAGTAAATATTGGTATGTTTAAGGACCTGTGCGTTCATCCCTGCAACTGAGCTTTATAATGTCTGAAACGATCTCATAAAAGGCTGCTTAATTTAGCAGCAGCTGTTAATGGAAATAAAATACGTAAAATATTTCCATCAGTCTGAAAAGAAGCTCATGCTAATTTCTAGAGTTATACTCACTCCTCCTTCCCAGCCCCAAGCTCTAGGCAACGTCACTTGCTAGAGGTGTTTATTTTTTTTCTTTTACCTTTTGTGTACAGGCAATCATATGATATGAAATCTCTTGGGGCTGACTTCCCTCACTCAACATAGTGTCATTGAGATTCACCCATATCATAGTCTACATTAGGACTTCACTTCTTTTGTTGCTAAAATATCTTTCATTATATGGCTATAAGCATTTTTTTGTTTATCCATTTATTTGTTGATAGACATTTGAGTTGTTTCCACTTTTAGCTATTGTGAATAATACTGTTGTGAAGGGCTGGAGCGATAGCACAGCAGGTAGGGAGTTTGCCTTGCATGCAGCCAACCTGGCTGACCTGAGTTTAATTCCTCCACCCCTCTCAGGGAGCCCAGCAAGCTATCGAGAGTATCTCACCTGCACGGCAAAGCCTGGCAAGCTACCCATGACATATTCACTATGCCAAACACAGTAACAACAAAGTCTCACAATGGAGACGTTACTGCAAATCGATGAACAACAGGAGGACAGTGCTACAGTGCTACTATTGTGAATCCCCACATTTTTCAGGAATAATAATCAACAAATGTAGGAGCACATATTTCTCAACAGTTTGCTGTTATGCCTTAAAGCATTGCTGTAATCTCCATGGATTATTTTGGGCCCTTTGCCTCAGATAAGAACATATGCAAACAATTTTCTTTCTAGTGAGGATGGATGTCTCTCATATTTTTTCCATCTTTTAAAAAGAAGATAAGATCCTAGTAGAAGAACAAGACTGGCATATTCCTAATTTGTTATTGAATTGCAGGCTACTTGCAAGTACCAGTAATGGCATGGATGAAGACAAAGGAAAGACAGTCCTTTCTCACTATTTTCTCAGACACTTGTTTTCTTTCTTTCTTTTTTTCTGCTTTTTGGGTCACACCCGGCGGTCCTCAGGGTTTACTCCTGGTTCTGCACTCAGGAATTACTCCTGGCAGTGCTCGGGGGACCATATGGGATGCTGGGAATCGAACCCGGGTGAACTGCATGCAAGGCAAAGCCCTACCCACTGTGCTATTGCTCCAGCCCCAGACACTTGATTTCATGGCACTGAGTCAGCAAGCTAATTGGGAGACCACCTACACTTTCTGCATCATTTTTTTGATTGTACACACCAACAAACTCCTAATGAACTGTGTGCATCTCCATCTCTTCCCCAGTGCATAATGGAAGCACAAATTACTAGGAGCTTGGGTTTGTTGTCTGTCAGTTAGCAAATGGGAGCTGGAGACAGTGCACCCCTGGGCGTGTACTTATGTGTGTGGGGTCTCAGTGGACTTATAGAGTTGTGTTTAGGGAAGTTTATATTCAGAAGGAAAAGTGAGAGCATGAATAACTTATGCTTTTCTTTCTCTTTTTCTTTTTCCTCCCAGAAAAAGATCTAGAGCACATTTCACCGCGCTGCGCCCATCTCTGATCAGCCATGGTCGTGTTGTGTTTGCATCGTGTCTCCCTCCACCCGGAACATTCTCCCCCAGCTTGTCCCCTGCCAGCCTCCGTCACGGTGCCCTCTTCTCTAGACATTTCCCAGGTGCTTCCCTCCTGCCCCTCCAGCATGCTCCTCTGGGGAGCCTTCATCTCTGTGTTCACAGTTGCTCCTTTGCACGCCTCCTTTCCTGCTGCGCTTTAACACATTCCTCTGCATCTTTTCTTTTTTAAAGATTTTTTTTGTTTTTGTTTTGGGGCCATATCTGGCCATGCCCAAGTCTTTGTCCCGGTTTTGTGCTTAGAGATCTCTCCTGGTGGTCTTGGGGGACCATCTGGGGTGCTGGGGATCGAACATAGGTCATCTGAGTGCAAGGCAAGTACCCTACTGACTGTACTACCTCTCTGGCACCCTGCTGTGCATCTTTGCAGCTTAGTAACCTAGCACAGTACTGTGAGTTATGAGAATTTTTTGGTGATTTAGAGGACGAAAGAATACATGCTTTCTCATGCACATTTGGTCATCATCCAGGGTTTCCTCATGGGCCTGGAATTTCCTAAGCATTGAGAGCATTAAAGGTGTTGGTTGTAATGGAGATAACTTCTGGCGGGGGGGGGGGGGGGGGAGGAGTCCCAGAATGTAGCTTGATGGAAGAGTTTGTGCTTAGCATGGCCTTGATTGGGCCCTCAGCAGTAGCAGCAGCACCACCACCACCACCATCAAGGATAACTTGGGGGAACTCTGAGGTTGAGGGCTGGTTACCAAGGAAACCTACAGGCACTGAGGGCATTCTCAAGAGAGGAACTGGAAGATGAGTCTATTTGCTGATGACCATTGATTTAATCCAAAGAAAGGGGCTTCAGAGAACTTTCACCCTGGAAACCCAAGGTTTTCACATGCCCCCTTGGCAGCCCCATCCTCCTTGAGGACAGAAACTCCTTCATTTGGGCTGCAGGTTTCTCTTCTCTGGCCCTCAGTATTCTTAGTGTTCTTCATGAGTGAGCTGGGTGCCTGAGTTCTGTGAGCTGTTCTAACAAATCAACCCAGCCTCCTGTGCTGGCACCTTGCAGTCTGAGGGACAGGTAGTGTTCTCGAGTGTGTAGGAAGTTGGTCAGAAGCCCAGGTAATAGCCAGAACTCCTCATCTAACAAGAGGGTGATCTGGGGCGGTTGGCCCCTTTCCCTGTGGAATCCAGTGCTGCCTTAGGGTAGACAGTGTTAGAACTGAGCCCAACTCTCAAGCACCCTCTTGTGTCCAACGAAGGGTGTATATGGGGAGGCCCCCAGGCGCTCAGATTACTTAGTGTGCATGGAGTAAGGGCTGCTTCAGCGTCAGGTGCCTGCAGAGGTGTGGTGAAGCTAAAGGGAAGCGGCCTCCCCAGCTCTGGTGGCGGTTGGCAGAGTGAGCCCAGGTCTGAAGAATTACTTAGTTCCCTCAATCATTAAAACTTTGAAAGTTTTGGAATCCTGAGAAGATGGTTACAGAATAATCAAAGTTTGAGAAAAAAAAGAAATCTAACAAATATGTCTAATTGAGTAGTCATTTCAGACCTTTTTTTTTTTTGCTCCTTGAGTCACACCTGTCGATACTCAGGGATTACTCCTGGCTCTGCATGCAGGAATTACCTCCTGGCATTGCTCAGGGGACCATATGGGCTGCTGGGAATCGAAACTCAAGTCCGCCGCGTGCAAGGCAAATGCCCTACCTGCTGTGCTCCAGCCCCCACTTCAGACTTTTGAGTGATTATGGTGGCAATAGTGGCCACTGAGCAGACAAAAATCTTTTTTCTTTCTTTTGGGCTTCCTAAACAGTGCTCTGGAGGCCCAGAGGCCACTCCTGGCAATGCCTGAGGAATCGTGTGGTACAGGGTTCAAATTTGTGTCCAGACACATGTGCCTGGACTGCTGCAGCTGGCTTCTAAGTAGCATACATTTTTGGATTTTTGTTTTGGATCTATACTCAGGGGTGTTCAGCTGTCGCTTACAGTGATGCCTAGGGGACCTTATGGTGCCAGGGATTGAACCTGGGCCTTCCACTTGCAAAGCATTTACTCCAAATGCTTGTTCCTGACCTGAGCTGACATATTTTTTGACAAGCAAATTGATTTGGGGATGGGTCTTGCCAGAGAGCCAGCTTCTTCCACAGTGAGTCGTGCTGAGCTGCTGCCAGCACTAGAGGGGACAAGCCTGAGCTGTGGCATGTGTTTGTTTCAAAATGTCTGTAGACAGGCTTTGTTAGTGGCTTTGACAATTTTCCTAAAGCCTCTCTAGCTCATGTAAACAAAAAGTTATTTTTTAAACAAACTCCTCTTTGTTGAAAAATAGATGCCTGCACAGCGAGGGAAGCATCCTTGATAGGGAGGGTGTTTGGGGGATTTAATCCTGGTGGCAGCAATGAACGGTTGTGGATGGGTATGATTACTTGTTTTCCTGAGGAAGAGTCGTGACAGTTCGATGAAGACGAGCCTTTTTCTGCTCAGTTGGAAAGCTGCTTCTTTCCAGTGTAGTGATTCCTCATTGGGCGGCCAAGTCCTCGGAACTCAAGGTAAGGCTTCCAGATTCCTCTAGTGGTTCCCTCTGTCTTGGGAGATGTCAAAGAACTCGATTCTTTGATTTATTCTCTCTTACACGAACTGATGTTGACTCCGCTCATTTATGGAGTTTCATTTTTCCAGGAAATGGATTCTGTTTGTGCATTTTGCAGGTACTACTCAGTCCTCTATCCTCTGGAGAGAAAAATATCAGATGCCAAATCGCGTGAACTGGTGATGTACATCTGGGCCCACGCTGTGGTGGCCAGTGTCCCTGTGTTTGCTGTGACCAATGTGGCCGACATCTATGCCATGTCCACTTGCACGGAGGCCTGGAGCAACTCCTTGGGCCACTTGGTGTATGTCCTGATCTATAACATCACGACTGTCATCGTGCCCGTGGCCTTGGTGTTCCTCTTCTTGATCCTGATCCGCCGGGCCCTGAGTGCCAGCCAGAAGAAGAAGGTCATCATCGCCGCATTGCGGACCCCCCAGAACACCATCTCCATTCCCTACGCATCCCAGCGGGAGGCTGAGCTGCACGCCACCCTGCTCTCCATGGTGATGGTCTTCATCTTGTGTAGTGTGCCCTATGCCACCCTGGTGGTCTACCAGACTGTTCTCAATGTCCCCGACACATCTGTGTTCTTGCTGCTCACTGCCATTTGGCTGCCCAAAGTCTCTCTGTTGGCCAACCCTGTGCTCTTTCTGACTGTGAACAAATCTGTCCGGAAGTGCTTGGTCGGGACCTTGGTGCAGTTGCACCACCGCTATAGTCGCCGGAATGTGGTGAGCACGGGCAGTGGGGCAGCCGATGCCAGTCTGGAGCCCAGCATGCGCTCAGGCAGTCAGCTCCTGGAAATGTTCCACATCGGGCAGCAGCAGATCTTTAAGGCTACCGAGGATGAGGAGGAGAGTGATGCCAAATACATGGGCGCAGCTGAGCTCCAGGCTAAGGGGATGGTGACCTCAGGCCTGGAGGGGGAGCTGGGCTCACAGTTTGCCACCCTTGCACCACCCCCAGGCACAGTGGATCAGGCAGCCTCGGCAGGTCCCCTAGAACTTGAGACATTCCCCGACAAATATTCCCTGCAGTTTGGCTTTGGGCCTTTCGAGTTGCCTCCTCAGTGGCTTTCTGAGACCCGAAACAGCAAGAAGCGGTTGCTTCCCCCACTGGGCAACACCCCCGAAGAGCTGATCCAGACAAAGATGCCCAAGGTAGGGAGGGTGGAGCGGAAGATGTGCAGAAACAACAAAGTGAGCATTTTCCCCAAGGTGGATTCCTAGCAGGAGGGTCAGTTGCTGGAAGCATCCCGCAAGGTCCGAGGCAGCTCCACCTCCTGTTCCACACCCTTTCCCTGGCTCCAGGATTTCCATAATCTCAGTGTAGCCCTGTGGAGTCGCCTCCTCCTGTGCGGGCCAAATGCCTTTGAATGAATGGGAAGTCTGTATAGAGTTCAAATGTCTTCGTCATTCAGGGAGTGTTAATTTATTTATCTCCATGATCTACATCCTAAGTAAAGTTCACATATCTCTTTGTGAAGATGACAGTTGGGCAGTGGAAATGGGTTTGGGAGTGGGCACTCCATGTGCACTTCCTGGGGGACCCCGGCTGTTCCCCGGGTCCAGCAGACAGCCAGGCAGTAGCAATCTGAGGAGCTCTGCCAATGGTTGGTATATGATGTGGGAGTTTCAGAAAGAAGATGCCTTTTTGGTGGACTTACACAGGACAATATTAAAATGTTTCGTGTTAATCTCTGTTTTGGGGGGACTTGACCTTTGACCTTTTTTCTCTGGAAGGTCCAATCAGTTTTTCCAATGCTCTTATCCCTTTCACCAGGATACAGATAAAGAAGGTCTGCGTAGCCCCACCTGACAGACATGCCAGTTGATGTGCCTTTATTGAGGGAGAGAGTTTGTCCTTGATTAAGATTTTTTGTCCTGCCACTCCCAGGCATCGCTGAACCCCTGAGAGATGCCTGCACCCCGCTTGTGATGGATTTTGGTTGGAAAACACCACAAGCTCTTTACTGTCTGTATCCCTTGTGTTTTATCCACCAATGAAAGAGAAGCTTAGAGGTCAAGAAGAAAAAATGAGAACTGTCCACCCTAGTCTTTCCTTGCACATATCTCACAAGAAAGACATCTTAGGAGTAAGGTATATTGAAAAACTTGCTACCTTGTGCACACTTGAAATTGATAACTAAACAATATGCAAAGTCAGTGAATACTGGGCCCTCTGGAAACATCAAGCCAAAAGTTCTTGGTTAGGAAAGGGACATCTGCAGAGAAGAATGGGAAAAGTCTGAGAAAGCTACCTCTCTGTGGAGGGGCCCCAGAACCCAAGTGGGGCCAGTCTCCCATTCAGCCCTTTTGCTGCCACTGCAGCTCTGCCTGCAGGTATAGAACTGGGAGAAAGACTTAACATTGCTAAATGCCAGCCCAGCAGAGTCCAGGTGAACTGGCCACTTCTTCCTGCTCCACAAAGTTTTGGCATGAACCAGAGAGACTAGAAGGGATGGCACAGTATCCTCAATCGAATAGACCCCCATAGCTCTCTCTAGAGATGCCATGCCACCTCCTGGTGGATTTCACTGGGAAGAACACAAAACAAAATGCCACTTTGCTTTAAGGAGGGCAAATCAAATGCTGACTGAGCTCGTCTTTCCAGAGTATTTTGTTCTAGTTAATTGTGTATAGGGGAGTTCATCCAGTGCCTTGAGCAAGCTTGAAGGGAAGTGGTCCTTTTGGTGGACACCACTCTATAGCCCAAAAGCAGCGGGACTTGCGTCCATCCCATCCTCTCTCCACTGTCCAAGCCATGCCCATGGGGAAGCTCACTGCCATAGGGTGTTTCCTCTGCTTCCTACTGGGTCTGGTGCCCTGGGATGCTGGAGTGTGTGCCAAGAAGCTCCCTGCGAGGGAGCCCCTTCCTCTGTGTGCTTTGTCTTCCCAAAGTGTTCCATGCTCACCACAGAAGTAGGGGGCCGCCCCCATGCTCGGCACCCTCTGTGCATGCCACTGTAGCGCCTCAACCTGATAGAACAATGGCCCTTCGGGCTTAGCTTCTAGAGCCTTTACAGCCATGACAACTTTCATCGAGGGAAATTCTCATCTGTCAGAAAATTGTTTCCATTTCCAAGAGTCTATCAAATGTAATTCTATTTGTGTCATTTGGATATAGATATACATGATTTAATAAATTCTGCTGAGTTAGAATTTGTAGGTATTAATGTATGTCTGAACAGATGGTTGACTTCTAACAGGTCATTTGCCAGGTATATTTCTATACTCTTTGAAGAAATACATTTTAATAAAAAAAAATTGAAAAACATTTCCTGAACTAAATAAAAAAAGTTGTATGAGCTTTTTTTCCCCGGCCTTTGTTCCCCTTCCAAGCAGACTACCATCTGAATCCTGAATCTCTTTCTAGATGATCTGGATTTATATTAACTCTGTGAAGAAAACTCCACAGAGCTGGAACGATAGCACTGTGGGTAGGGTGCTTGCTTTAAAAATGGCTAGCCTCGGGTTTGATCTGTGGCAGCCCACAGATAGTCCCCTGAGTACTGAGTGAGGAGTAACCCTTGAGCATCACAGAGTGCAGCCCAGAAACCAAAAACAACAACAACGATTACACCAACAAATGAACTCTACAGAGTAATCATTTATGGTTTCTGATAAAGATATGATAATGGATTGTGTCCTTAATTTTATTCACACCTGAAATTCCCTAAAACTCCATTATTTTAATGGATTGAAAATAAAGGCCATAAAAATCTATGGAGTAGGATAAGGGGAAGCACTCTGAATGCAGGTGAGTCTCTAAAGACAACACATTTTATTTTATTTTTTTGTTTTTTGGGTCACACCTGGCGGTGCTCAGTGCTTACTCTTGGCTCTGCACTCAGGAGTTACTCCTGGCAGTGCTCAGGGGACCATATGGGATGCTGGGAATCGAACCTGAGTCTGCTGCATGCAAGGCAAACGCCTTGCCGGCTGTGCTATCTCTCCAGCCCCAAGACAACACATTTTAAAGAGAAATTTCCCAATTATTTTATTATTTTTTAAGAGTTTTAAAAACTTTTTTTATTGAATCACTGTGATATAGACCCCTGTAAAGCTGTTCATGATCGGGTTTCAGTAATACAGTATTCCAGCACCCATTCCTCCACCAGTGTACATTTCCCAGCACTAGTATCCCCAGGTTCCCTCCCTTCAACCCTCAACCCCCCACCCCTTGCTTGCCTCTGTGACAGGCATTTTTCTTCTCTCTCTCTCTCTCTCTCTCTCTCTCTCTCTCTCTCTCTCTCTCTCTCTCTTTCTTTCTCCCCCCCCCCTTATCCTTTTTGTTTTGTTTTGCTTTTTGGGTCACACCCAGCGATGCTCAGGGGTTACTCCTGGCTCTGCACTCAGGAATTACTCCTGGTGGTGCTCGGGGGACCATATGGGATGCTGGGAATCGAATCCGGGTCGGCCGTGTGCAAGGCAAACAGCCTACCCACTGTGCTATTGCTCTTTTTAGGCATTGTGGTTTGCAGTATTGATACTGAAAGGTTATCAAGAATATCCCTTACCTACTTTTAACCCTCAGATCTTGTCCAGTGAGGCAACACATTTTAGAAGCTGGGAGGCAGATGGACAGTGGAAATTGACAAGAGGACTCAAGAAATCCCCAAGGGTTTGTCATTGTTGAATACTGTCCACTTGTTTTTTTTTTTTTTTTGGTCTCTCTGTATTCCATAGATGAGTGAGAGCATCTGGTCATTTGTCACCCCTTCCTTAACTTTTATTCAAGATAGATCAGAATTACCAGTAGTGAGGGGAAAACCTCTAGTTTGATAGGTCATAGCAAGGTAAACACACAGAAAACAACTGTTTATGGATATATCTTTACAGTAAAGCCACTGCCTTGCATGTGGGAGCCTACTGTTTTAGCACCGCCCAAAGGAAAAGATCCTGCATGTCTACAAAACAAACATTAAAAGACAGAATAGAGGGACCAAGCATAGTATAAAGGGGCTGGAGCGTACTTGGTCTGTAGGAGTCCCTGGTTCTATCCTTAGCATTTTGTGGTTCCCCAAGCCCTGACACTGCCAGGTATATTTCCACTACCCTCGCAAATAGACAAAATCAAGCTCCTGAGATTTACTAACACGATGGCATAAATAAAAACAGTTTAGAAGGTGAGTTGGGGAAAGATCCCAGACTGTATTTCAAAAAGATAGAGAAAGAAAATGTCAGATTAGGAATTGAGTCTAGGGCCTAAACTCCAGGAGGCCCAGCATCCAAATAATAGGAATTACAGAAAAAGACTCAAGAAATGATCGATGAAATAATTCAAGATAATGTCTTAAAAATGAAGAATGAACATTTTTGTATTGAAAAGTTCCACTGAGTATCAACCAAGTGGATAAAAAAAGTATCTTTACTTTTAAAAGTAAAAGTTTAAAAACAGCAATATGAAAAGACTCTACAATCAAAGAGGAAAAATATAGCATCACACATTAAAGATCAGAATGGTCTGGGAGCTTCTCACCAACACTTAGGAGTGAAGAGAATAGAATCAATCCTTCAACATACTGAAGAAAAACCTATTTCCAGTGTAGAATTCTGTATTCATCCACTATGCAGCTGTTAGGAGAGATGAAGACATGAACTTTGCTTATAAGTGGATAGACATGGAGAGTATCATACTAAGTGAAATGAGTCAGAAAGAGAGGGACAGACATAGAAGGACTGCACTCATTTGTGGAGTATAGAATAAAATAACATGAGGCTGACACCCAAGGACAGTAGATACAAGAGCCAGGAGGATTGCCCCATCGCTGGAATCCTGCCTCATGAGTGGAGGGAAGAAGGCAGATGGACTAGAGAAGGGATCACTAAGAAAATGATAGCTGGAGGAATCAGTCAGGATGAAAGATGTGTGCTGAAAGTAGATTATGGACCAACATGATAACCTCTCAGTGTCTGTATTGTAAACCGTAATGCCCAAAGTAGAGAGAGAGTATGGGGAATATTGTCTGCCATGGAGGCAGAGGGAAGGTGGGGAAGGGGGATATACTGGGAGATTGGTGGTGGGGTATGTGCACTAGTGGAAGGATGGGTGTTTGATCATTGTGTGATTGTAATCCAAACATGAAAGCTTGTAAGTTTCTCATGGTGATTCAATAAAATTAAAAAAAATTTGTATTTATCAAGATATATCACATGTGAAGATATTTTTTGTATACAAATCTCAAGAAATTTACCTTTCAGGTACTTTTCCTAAAAGCTCCTGGGGGCTATTCTCTAAAACAAAAAGATAGCCAAGGGGGAGAGGTGCAA